CATTATACTAATACAGAGGTGCTAACATTGCTAACAAGAAAGTACTTGCTGGCAGAGAATTTTTTTTAAACTAATTAAAGATTTTAAAAATGGTCACCTATTTTTAAAGTCCAAATGAAAATCAGAGGGATAACTAGCAATTTCCCTAAGCAATTAATTTAATACTTGAATTTTATAAAAGGTTTTCTCAAACAGCTACATATATACACTTGTTCAAACTTTGAAATAAATGACAAAATGAAATAACAGTTCTTGGGCATAAACTCAGATTTCTGTATATTAGTCTTCTCTCATTTATAAGTATACAGCTTAATAAGGCTGTATTAGCATAAAATTAGAGATATAACACCCAACAGTCACTGGGATGGTGAACTGTACTCAGTAGCACAGCTGGGAAAAAAAAATCAGCAATAGAATAGACAGTAGCACAGTTAAGGAAATGTTTATGCCCATAACAATACCCTAGCGTGAAAAGATAAAGTGAAAACTAATGAACTCCTGAGAAAATAATTCATCTTGAGAGACCATAAAAAGGGATGGAGAGACACACACTTGACGGAACAGGAAGGGAGAGGTGGTTGAGATGGAGACAGAGGGAGAAGGCGAGCACGAATCTCCTAGACGAGGTCAGAACTAAAGGACATACCACGTTTGGTCAGCACCAGCAGCCCATAAAAAAAGATTAAGAACAATGAGAGGAACTACAGTATTAAAAGATCCCTATGACCCCTCCCTCATTGAGAAGAATGGAGTGATGAAGCAAACAGAGACTCGTGACCCAGGGGACCAGGACACACGCTCAGCATGAGGCAGATATTTTTGTAAAGAAATAAATGTTTATGTAAGAAGGAGAGTGATAAGACACAAAGGCATGGAGACACTCATAATTAACTTTGCCCTCTTTGCACACACCTTCATCCCTCTAAGTATATAAACACACATGAAGCTGTCTCCCTTTGTGATTATGTATTGTGGCTGAAAAAAATGTTCTTGTCACATTGTAGTAATACATTCAAAGACAAGTATGAAGCACCAAAAAAAAAGTTCAAAAACATGTTAAGTGCATACAGACAGAGATCTAAATTAGACGGTAGATAAACACCAGCCGACGCAAATCAGGCTGTCAGTCTGTTTATATTGTTTTTGTTCAAGTTTTAGTAACCCATAGTGGAATGCTTGGACTTTGTCTTGCTAGCCCGGCTTAACTCTCCATATCCTCTTCTATTCAGTGCATTGTTCCTTTTACCGCTGATTAATATCTTGTTTAAACAGCCACCAGACGCAACACACCACCAGTGTGTCCATAAATTCTCTAGAGCTGATCAACACAATAGCTGCATTCTTAAACACAGAGCTTCACGTAACACAGCATCTCCATAACACTCGAGATCTCGAGATTCTGCAAGGGTAAGCTTAAAACAAAATCAGCACATTAAATCAGTGTGGCACCACTGAGAAAAGAAATGACTGCCAAAAATAGAAGACATTTAACACTTGTGCAACTTTTATTAACAAATATAACTTTAGAATCCAAAAAAAAAAACATTGTGGTTTTTACTATGTAATGAGAATAATGTAGTGAAAAAGAAGAAATCACAGATAATACAGTCTGCAGTCACCTCAATTCACAGCAAGTCCATCTCAGGTGTCACATTTCAATTTCCTTGCTTCACTGAGACTAAAGAATACCTGTTATGTGATTGAGGCATTTCATCTTCAGTAGGACTGCACAATCTTTACTGGGTCATATAGATGTAAATCTATTGGATATCAGAATACTGTATAAAATTAGTGATACCCTGGTATAAGAAGTGATATTAAAATCCTATACGTTATCATACATTGTTATAAAAATCTCTATTAAGATAAGATAATATTTGCTATAAGGGACAAATTTTATTTTCCAAAGAAATTAATGTTACAGAGAAACATTTGTGTTATGGTAAAGAAAGTAAAATTCTAAATAATATCCTACTTTTTAGATAAATAACAATATATAAAAATATAAAATAAATAATAATAAAAATAATAAAAATAATAACAAATAGATAAAATAAATAAATAAATAGATTAATAATAATAATAATAATAATAATAATAATAATAATAATAATAATAATCAAGTCTTTCTGGGATTTTAGCTGAAGAAACCCGAAGCACATGAGAAGCAACGCTTGTAGAAGAACTTCAGCTTAACCTCATTCTGTACATGTTCCTACTGATCTGGTATTTATTAGATGTAAATATATTATAATTTTTTTAATTTATGATTATTATTCATACTATTATAGTAATATGTAATATTACCATATTATATTAATATTATGACTTCGTATTGCAATAATAGTATTATCTCAATACATCAGCCAGCCCTTTCAGGTTGTTCTGGTGGACAGTAGCTGAGATGCCAGCCATGACTTTTTCAGCTCGAAAGCATGGCTTTCTGCACGGAGCACCAAGCACGCAATAACAATAATTGGGAGGAGTTCATTCATGAAGCATAACATTGGACTTTTACCAAAATATGTTATGTATTCACTCTTTGTTTCATACCAGGTTGGTGTATGTATGAGATTGTTATCTCCAGCACACATAGCAGACATTGTTTAAATGTACATTATACAGGCAGCTGAATTTGTTGGCTGAGATGAAGTCTAGTGAGCTCCATAACGTTCACCCTGAAATTCACGTTTCCTTTAATTCCTTTGAAAATGATGTTAACAGAAACTCAAGTTTCATGGCATTCATACAAGGGCGGAACATCAAGGTCCCATAGAAATATTTATTAATCACCATTAGTAACTTCAACAATAGGACAAAATATCAAAATAGCTTTGAATAGGCCATAAAAATTATATCCATTTATACCAGAGGTCAGAGGGTATTGATTAATTTTCTATAACAGCAGCTCTGACTGCAATAGTTATATTAATGCACTCATTCTAAAACCTTCTCATTTCTATAGAAAAAGGGACTTGTATGGCGAACGCTCCACATAATCTAAGGCTAACAATAAGCAGATTAATCAAAAGTTATTTAGCAAGGAAAAATGGAAAGTCATTGATCTGGTGAAGCTTTCTGTTAAACATTTATTTAACATTTATGGAACAATTCTCCAGTGTCAGTGCTCCGTAACAGTTTCTCAGTAACACGACAAGCTGCATCTTTTTAACTTAAAGAAAAAAAAGAAACGATTGTTTATAACTACTATAATGTAAATAACGTAAGTAACTTGGATCACTGCCGTTCCACAACAATAAATGTAAATATAAATGGTTAAAAAGTATGACATGCCATTCAGTAAAAAATTAAAAAGTATAATCAGTGGCACATTTCTGTGGTGGAAGAAGAATAAAACACTTTGGGACATGCTGTTATTGGAAAACAATCAACTTCAAGGTGTATATGTTTAATTTTTGTTCTATGCAATTTAAAATTATTAATATGCTTTACACTAGAGAAGTTCAAAACTAGAGAAGTGCAATGTCTTATCCTACACACACATATATGTCGTAAAGCAACCATTTGCACTGCCATTTCAGTGATGGTCAATGTGAAAAAAGACAATACAAACTCATCAGGGTCAAGTTGCAGTTTGATCAGTGAGGCAAGAACAACCTATATGATTACATCTCTAAAACCTGCTTTGCTTCTGTGCAGAATACTGAAAAAAAGGGCCTGAGAGAGCAATCTATCCCCCTCAGGAAATGAGTGACTCTAATAACTGCTAAATGCACATGGTTTGAAGTTACACCTTCAGTCTATAAACAATAGCACTTTGATCCCAGTGTGGGCCTCAAACACAGGTACACATTGTACACTTCTTTTCCTGTCTGTCACACAAGAAAGAAAGATGGGGCACTGAAGAGTTAAAGTCTATGACATGGGTAATGTGTGTGTGTGTATGTAGGTAGGTAGGTAGGTATAGTAGTGTTAGTGTCCATATAGTACTATTACATTTACATTTATAGCATTCAGCAGGTCACTCTTTTCTAGAGTGGTTATTAGGTATTTGACGTTAATATTAGTGGAGTCATAGCACAATACTCTGAGTGTAGATATGATACTATCAGTGTAGGTATAACAGTACTATTGTTGTGTATATAGTACCATTAGTCTAGGCACAGCACTATTAATGTTGATATTGTGCCATTATAAAGGCTATTATACTATTATTTATAAAATAGTGCTATTTTTGTGGAGCTGTTGTTGGTACAGCTTTGGTAGAGAGGTAAGGGCTATGATTAGATTAGGTGTGTGTGTGTGTGTGTGTGTGTGCGCGCGCAGGAAGACGAGGAAACATGTCTCACGGGTTTCCTTGTTGTAAATCGTGTCGCAGTAGGACCCAGAGGATCCATCATCGCTGAAATTGGACAAGCACACCTTTATGTGAGTCCACCAAATCAGGTTGTTAAAAAAAGAAAAGGCTCCACAAAGTGATTCTTCTCAGCTACAGAAAAAAAACCCTTCCGCTTTGAGCCTGTCAATTGGCTCAAAGCACTCGACAGGAAAACACAATGGTTCCTGCTGTCAAACCTGTGACAGCTATATATATAAGAATGCTCATGGACAGGTAATGCATCCTAACGGCTCTAGAGCAACGTTACTGTGGATGTAGGAGGACAGACTGAGTGGACAGACTGAGAGGACAGGATGAGCGCGTCTGTGGCAGTGTACAGGAACATTTACACAGAGGACCGTTTCAGACAGACTTACGGTACCGAGGCCAAACCGCGCGAGCGCTTCAGAGAGAGACTGTGCGCGCGCTGCCGCTGCTCTCAGGTCCACTGCCTCCACCTGCTCAAGCAGCGGATGCCGATTTTCAACTGGCTGCCGAAATACAGACTCAGGAAATGGATTTTAGGAGACACAGTGGCAGGGCTGACAGTCGGGATTCTACACATTCCCCAAGGTAGAGTTACTCCTGCAGCACAGCTGACAGTTTGACTTAGAAATTTCCAACAACCTAACATTTGTTTCTGTGAGGTTCTCGGTGTCGGGACACGGTGGTGTAGTGGTTAGCACGCTTGCCTCGCATCCATGAGGTCCGCGGTTCGATTCCCACCTCCGTTGAACCTAAATTTCTCACAGTTGCTATGTTAATTAACTCGTAAAACCGGCAGTAGTCAATGTGTTTCGGATTGAAGCGACGTCTTCATCACGTTGTGCTGAGGCGCTCTTTCCTTAAAAAAAAAAAAAAAAAAAAAAAATTAAATTAATTACTCAACCTGTTCAACTTCGGCTTATCATCTCTCCTGAACCCTGGGTTTTAACTGTAAAATAAGGTCTACTGACCCCTATAGAATCGGTTTCTCTTATGAACTTTATGTCCTGTTCAGCTATTCAAACATTAAGGTCATTATTTAAATGTGTACAAAATATTCTAGCTATTTATTGGAGCCATAGAGATTTTTACTCCTAAACTTGACACCAGCAGAACATGTTAGGGCCACACTGACATTATTTATAGGCCTGCATGTTTTTGAATTATTGAGGTTTGAATTCAACTGACCAGTCAAACCGGCTAATAAGAATAAAAAAATCAATAATAACTGCACTTTGATAATTTAATAATGGTGGATTATGATTTCCACTACTGTAACAAAAAAATAAAAAATCAGAAATTTACAGACCTTACTGCTTCACTTCATGGACCCCTTTGTGCCACAAAAAAGACTACCCTAATTTTCCACAAAACAAAGCTGTTATTATACTGTAAAATTGAGATGAATATTAGCACTACTCACTCCAATGGTTTTGTGTACCAGGAATGGCTTTTGCATTATTGACATCAGTGGCTCCGATCTATGGCCTGTACACATCGTTCTTCCCTGTAGTCCTGTACATGCTGTTCGGGACGGGGCGTCATGTCTCCACAGGTAAAAAACAAAACAAAAAACTTTCAACTTTCAGTAGCAGTGGGCTAGACATTCCTTAGGAAAATTCACTATGGTTAACTATCATTAGCTATGGTTTTACTATGATACTCTATGGTAACCATGATACTGCCATGGTTTTCCTGTAGTGCCTCAGAGTAACTATGCTTTAACTAACATATTTAACCAATATTGTCTACGATTTTACTACTGTGTTTAAGGCTAACTATAGATATTACAAATTTATGACTCTCATGACACTGCACAGGGAAATAATTTGCACTATAAATGGCTATATGCACAAATCAAGAAAAGAAACATAAGCTTAAAAAACTGATGACTTCTAGATGTGCATATTGAGATGAATATACATTCTAAACTGTACATATAAAACTCAGTAAGTGTGAATGCAGGTATTGAAGTGTAAATTTTGTCATTTCTCTTCATAGTTTTGTCATTGTAGCTAATCAGAAGTGAAATTTGTATCTGTGTACATAAAAATATTTTCCCAGTATACAATATATTCACTTTTTCTTGTATTTTTCCTGTATGTATTCCTCCCTGTATATACTCAGTTGTGATGTTGACTATGTATGGGCCGGTACAGGTACTTTTGCAGTAGTGAGTCTGATGACCGGCACGGTGGTGGAGCAGCTGGTGCCGACTCCTCCTGATCTGAACTGCAGTAGCCCAGAGGTCGCAGAGCTCGAAAATCAGAGGATCGGGGTGGCTTCAGCCATAGCATTCCTGTCAGGAGTGATGATGGTAAGAAAATACCTGATATATCTGACAGTAATTCATACACGTGACACATGCATTAAAAACAGATTTAATTGGTGTATTGTGTTTGTTTTTGCTGAGCTTGATTGTGTTATGGAATGCTAATGTCACCTGTTTCTATGGCTTTCACTTCCAGCTTTGTATGTTTGGTCTGCAGTTGGGTTTCCTCTCCACATACTTATCAGAACCCATTGTTAAGGCATTCACCAGCGCTGCTGCATTTCATGTGACTGTCTCTCAGCTGCAGAACATGCTGGGATTGCGGCTTCCTCGCCACACAGGCACCTTTTCCCTCTTCAAGGTTTGTGAGGGGCAATGAGGCCTGTCGAGTTATTAGAATACTTATTATAACATTATCAGTAATGACGGGTTGTGATATTAAATATCAGGGAGGACTAAAATCTAATATATATCGATAGGTCAACAATGAAACTATTAGGATTGAGCAATGCACTATATCATGATATAATAAGAATAATGTGAGGCAAAAAGTTTTTTGAATGAAGTCCATAATGCTGTACTAGGTTCATGCTGTGTTTCATCTGAATACCAAATAAGGTAAACTGAAAGACAAAAAAAACAGTAAACTTGCGATTCTGTCATTTGCCCTTTTCTGCAATTTTTATTTCTTTGATTGATCAATGTGTGCCTATCCCTGCTAGCCCATTTATAGCAGCCTCCCTGCTTTGTATACAAGAAATAAGAAATAATTTAGAACTGAGTGAATTTATTCCAGTTTAGTGACTTGATGACAAAATGTGTTTACACTGACAATTTACTGTGAAGTTGTATACACTGGCGACATCTGACTTGTTAACTCTATCCCACAGACACTGGCCTCGGTGATGGAGAACTTGCCCCATACTAACCTCGCCGAGCTGCTGATCTCACTGCTCTGCCTAGCTGTGCTCGTTCCCATTAAGGAAGTGAACACACGATTTCGTCAGCGTCTGTGCACTCCCATTCCTGTGGAAATTCTCACTGTATGCCATTAGATGAACTTTGAGACAACATCACAATCTATATGAAAAGAAAATGTGTTTTGATTTATCTTTTATTCTTCAGTGCTTTATTCTATTTCTCCACAGGTGATAATTGCTACAGGGGTTGCTTATGCCTCCTCTCTGGATTCCAGATATGATGTCCAGATAGTGGGTCACATTCCAGCAGGGTAACCATTAGTCCTATTTTTGAATACTACGTCTGAATATTTATTGTATGAAATAGTATATATTGTTTTAAATTGAATACTAAAACTAGGCCTTACAGATTCCTTGCCTCTGGTTCTGTTTTGTAGATTCCCTCGGCCTCGGCTGCCTGCTCTGCACACAGTGCCAGATATAGCTGGTGACACAGTTGCTATCACATTTGTAGGCTATGCTGTGTCTGTGTCACTAGCAATGATATACGCTGATAAGCATGGCTACTCTATTCACCCTAATCAGGTAAAGCCCCCTGAAACAAAATATCATAGAGTATTACATACAGTATAATACAGTATTAATGTTTGGAATGACTGTTTTTAATCATTTAAAGCCAGGTTTGTGTCAGATTTTAGGTTTCTTCTTTGATGAGACCACAACACAACTTCTTTAGATTATGAATACATAAACAATTTTACTCCCGAAAGTCCTGAATGACGAATGAAAAATTTGTGGTATAAGGTTTTAGAGAAAACAGTATAGATAAAGAGAGAAAATATAGTACAATAAAATGCTTAAAGTATCAGGTTTTATTAAGATTAATAATCAGAATAACCCAAAATTTGCAAAATATGCATACTTTGAACAGAACTTACTATAAATTTATAATTACAGTAAATTATCTATCATTAAATAACCTCTTTTTGGTCCAACAAAGTACTTGGAATACTGATCACTATATTTATTACTACAATCATAAATGGTTCTAAATTTTTGAGTGTTGGGTGCATACTTTTTTACTTTTCTTACAGGAGCTGTTAGCACATGGCATTTCCAATACGGTATCTTCCCTGTTTACCTGCTTTCCAAGTTCAGCTACACTGGCCACCACTAACATTTTGGAAAGTGCTGGTGGTTACACACAGGTAACCAGTAAGACCATACACACTGCAGACATATCATACTGCTTGGTTGTATTCATTTTTCACATACGGATTGTGACTGATCTTTAAGTTTGCTGCTTTGTTTAATTTGCTAGCTTTCCGGGTTGTTCACAAGTCTGGTGGTCCTGATTGTGCTGCTTCTCATTGGCCCTCTGTTCTACTTTTTACCTAAGGTAAGTGGTGGCATAAGGCCACAAAAACATGTGCAAATTGCGACCGTTGGTGTGAACACCAAGGCAGCAGTTACAGACAGGTGACAAATTAAAATACAACAATGTGTCTTAGTAAGGTGTTGGGCCACCACAAGCCACCAGGACAGCTGCAATGCACCTTAGCATAGATTTGACAACTGGAACTGTACTGGACGGATGGAGCACTCTTCTTCTAAAGGATAGCCCCTAGATTGATATTTTGATGACACTGGGGAGCACATCGTGTAACAAAGGTGTTCATAGGTGACTATGAAGGCCATAAAATATGATTAACATCATTTGTATCCTCATCAAACCATTTATTGAGCACTCGTGCCCTGCGGATTGGAGCGGGGTCATCCTGGAAGAGTCCACTTCCATCAGGTTGGAAATGTTACATCATAGGATCATCATGTCACATCAGAATATCAGTTAGAATAACTTTGTAACCTTTCCTTCTAAGGGGTGTTGTGGTCTATACCAGAATAATGCTTCAGTCAAATGCAAAGGATGGACGGATGGATCTGGAGACAGGAGTTTCACAGCAGATTAATTTTATTTGCAGAAGTTCTTCAGATGGAGAAATACAGTAGTGTAGTTGGAGTTCTGTTTTGGCTTTGCAAAATCCCTTCCTGTCTAACTAAATGTGTCCATATAGTACACAATAATAGAAGGGATTTATTTATAATTGCACTATCCGTTGCACCCAGATGAGGATGGGTTCCCTTTTGAGCCTGGTTCCTCTCAAGGTTTCTTCCTCATATCATCTCAGGGAGTTTTTCCTTGCCACCGTCGCCTCTGGCTTGCTCATTAGGGATAAATTCACATATTTACAACATATATATATATTTTTTGTGAATCCATTTATTTCTGTAAAGCTGCTTTGTGACAATGTCCATTGTTAAAAGCTCTATACAAATAAAATTGAATTGAATTGAAAGCCTTCCCTATTTATATATATATATATATATATATATATATATATATATATATAAACAAGTTTTTAGGTCATTTATGTGATAACATATTCTGAGGCTTAGCTCATTGTTTGATAAAAGAGTCATCACATGACAGCGTGTACCACTTATCTATCTTCTTACGTACATTCCATCCACTTATCTTATGGCGAGACATATCAGG